TTTAGCCATGGGAACGCAGCCACCGTGTCTTCAGCTGAGCTGGTTAAGTGGGTGGTGGGAACACGGCCGATGCATGACGAACTTTTTGTCCCTAATTCAGACTCAAAATGACCTGCCACCTTCTTCAGGCTGTAGGCAGACAAACAGGCTGACGTACAACAGATAGAGATGCTGCACGATTGCACATCCGCCTGGAGGGTGTGGATAAACAGGTACAGAAATAAGAAAGGGTGCCCACCGCGCCTCTGTGTATTGCGCCACTAAATTAAACACAGGAGAATCAGTCCCCCCAAGAAAGACACACGATTTGCAGCGTTGATTCCCAGAAACTTCACAGCCAACATGTTTCTGGAAGCCTTTAAAGCCTTGGCTGTTCTCCCAGGCCCCAGGCAGGGTCTCTGTTTTTCTGTTGGAGGATTTGTCCAGATGCGTGAGATTTTCTGGTTAGAAGTGCCTTTTTACGGTTTCCTATTTTTAATGTAAAGCGTCACTTTGGAGTTGGGGGCCTTTACATTTTGTGAATGAATGAATGAATGAATGAATGAATGGTTTTCTTTGCAGCAGTGCAGAAGGGACTGTGGCCAACGCTTTCTTCCAGGCTGTTTTTTGACTTCCAAGATGATGATGAAGTTAATGATGCTGTTCTGCCTTTATTTTGTACAATTCAAGGCAATGTACATAATACTCCTGCTCTCTATGTTCCCCACCACCACAACCCTGTGAGATGGGTTGGGCTGAGAGAGATTCATCTACAGAACTCCCCTGGGCTTTCTTGTGGTCTCCCATCCAGTACGAACCCAGTCCAACTCTTGCTTTCAAGATCAAGTTTTATTTTAAAGCATTTTAATCCTGCTCTTTAGCTGAAAAGGCTCCTGAACAAGAGAGGCTAACCAAGTTAAATAGCTGAGCAATCCTCGGACTCAGGAGTGCAAGCGAAAATGAGATTCTGAATCCTTAGCTCTCCAGAACGGTAGTGCTTGTATTGCTGGATTGAGGCTCTGTCCCACCGCCAGGTCCCAAACCCTGCTCTTTTTCATGCAAGATACATTTAAAAAAGGATGGACACCATCTTCATTTTTGACTCTCCCACTTTCTAATCCTGGATCAATGAAATTTGCACATCCCTAGGGTGTTTAAAGTAGCATGTTCTGAACACACCAATTCTCTTAATCTGATTTTAGGGTCAACCAGGCGTGTGCGAGCCCAGCTCGCTTTTGCTCAAAACTGGAAACTGGCACTCCCCCCAAAAAAGTTTGTGCGTGGAGGAAAGCAGCTTTCAAGGATACACAAGATCACGAGGAAGGGTTGAATAAACCATAAAAAGGGTAACAACAGAAGCAGCTGATTTTCTGGGAGGGATTACACACAAACCAATCTTGGTTTTAAGGAGTCTCCAGTGACTTGAACTGCTATCAAGACAGGCATATGTGTGGTACCTGGAGGGGATCCGGGATAAGAGACTTATTATACCTGTGGCTTGTCTCCCTCAACCTTACCTGGAATTTGCTTCCACGCCCACACACACCTGTCTCAGCTTCCAAGTATAGAGGATACATCACTCAAAATCAAACCAGCTTTTATTTACAAAAATAGTTGTCCTGCTCACCCCAGGAGGAAGCTGAAGCCTACAGCCTTTCTGAGGAGGGAGAAGTCCCCATGTTCCTCTGAACCTTCCCTCCCCCTTGGTTTATAAGAACAGCCATCCCCAAAGGCAAGCAGGGTGAGGTGGATAGAAAAGAGTGTTGTGGGAAGAAAAATCTCAGTGCAATGGCACGTATTCCCCTCAAAACATGGCTGATACTGAGGAATGGCGATGGGACAAGGCAGTGACGGTTAATACTTTTTTGTGCAAATGGGAGGAACACTTAGTGCTTTTAAGGTTTGGCTCAGCTGGCCTGGATGGACCAAACTCCATCATCCCCTCCCTCTGTGCCAAGGAGGAGGCTAGTTAGGTGGTGGTGGAATGGGTTCTTTCGATTTGGTAGAAGGCCACCCCCCCAACACATCTCCCTAGAGATGTTGACCTAATACTGAGATCAAAAGCTGACAGAAGGTAGGTGGGTGCCAAGGTGACTGGAAACAGGGAGGCCGAGAACACCTGGATTCTCAGCCCCAACACAACCACGAGATATTGGCTGCAGAGTTTTATGCAGCGTTTTCTTTTTTAAAAAATCCGAACAGTATAAAAGCATCATTCCAGGAGATGAGAAGAAGGAATCAGTTGGGACAAACGGTTGCCCCATGTTTTGTTAGCGACTGAGTCAGCAGCAACAGGGGCCGGGCTCTTGAGGTTTAGGGGGGAGGGGGTCACCAAAGCATGAAGAAAGAGCACCAAGGATTTCCACTGCAAATCACACCATCTCAAGCCACAAGGTCTTGGTGATATGTCGGGGGCTCAGGCCCCCACCCCTCTGCCCGATGTGCTGCTCGAGGGACCAGAATCCTGGCTGGGAGGGACAGTGGCATTCAAGGTAGGAGCAGCTGTTGAAAAGCTGCCGTTGTTCTTGGCTCTACTTTGCTGGTCTAAGGAGCAGCTCCCGCCTTGGAGCTCTGGAGTGTTGCTGGTGGCCTGGACCTCTTGCCCAGGTCTAGTGCTTCTGCTCTCTGCTGCCGCATTGCGCAACCCTTTGTGCTGAGGGGATGTGCCATTCTCCTGGAGGGGAGTGTGGTTGGCAACGCAGGCATTAACAGCCCCGGCTGGAGAAGTTCGCTCCAGTTTGCGATGTTTCCGGAGGACAGTTGGCGGTTGTGGGGGGTTGTTACTGGAAGGGACCAGAATGTTCCGGATGAGCTCCGTGCAGACAGCTGAGGCCTGGCGTGTCTCGCGACACAACTGGAACAGGCTGAGAAAGCCGTGGGGCAGATCCTGCACCACTCGCAGGGTCACGGGCTGCCCTATGGCCCGCAACCGCCGGGCAAACATCACTGAGTCGTCCAACATGGGGTCCAGGGCACATGCCTAGGGAGAAGAAAGGGTTGGATCCTGTGAATCCATGTGCTCCTAACCCTCACGTACCCCATTACACGGTGTGGTGGACAGATTTATAGGGCATTTCACCTAACAGACATGCCATGTGCAAAGAGGGTCCCCAAGTCTGTTCCCAATCTGAACTGGGAAATCCACTCTTACCACAGATCTGTCCAACCCAGAAAGACCCTTCGTTGCCTGCTCCAAATCCACTGAGGTCTACCCTTTGTTTTCAGGAGCAGCTATTCAGACAACTCTTAAAACCCAGAAAGCAGCTCTCCCCAGTTTTCTTTCTCCATCACAGAAGTTAGTTGCCACACTGTGACCAAGCCATGGACAGTTCCCTGTTCCTCCTTCCCCAGCTTCTCTTCTCTTCTCCCACGCAATATTTCTCAACCTTGACAACTTTAACATATGTGGACTTCAGCTCCCAGAATTCCCCATGCTGGCTGGGGAATTCTGGGAGTTGAAGTCCACATAAGTTAAAGTTGCTAAGGTTGAACCTCCTAGAGCCACCCCTGTCCTTCACCCAACTCAGAGAGTAACTTTTTTGAACTGAATGCAAGCAAGCACCCACCTGCCCACTGGAGAGCTGTGAAGGGGAAGGGATGCGCTGGCCCGTGTCCTGACTTCCATATCCACTCAACCCTACCTCCCCCTTCCAACCAACCACACCCCCCTGCAGCCACCCAGGCTTGCTCACCACGATATGGACTGGAGGGAGCCCCTTTAACATTCCATCTGGGGCCAAAAGGGGCGACATGAACGGATTCTTCAGGATGGGAGACGGCGCCAGAAACAAGCTGGTGGCAGGCTGGTCAGAGCGCAGGGGCTGGAAGTTGTTGGGAAAGATCAAGCTGTGGTCATTGCTGGAAGATGAGGCTTCTTGCTCGTTGTCGGAGAGGAAGAAGGTGGGCTGCTCTTCTGGGTCAGGGGTGGTAGGCCTTGGGGCCAGCTGGACATCTGGAGAACCTAAGAAGTTTTGACAAGTCTGTCTCTTCCAGGAATCTTTGTGGCTCGCAGACAGCTTGGATTTCAGGTCCGTCTCGGAGGCGCTCTTCCTCACGGTTTCTGCACACCAGGGAAGGGGACAGGGAGGAATGAGTGCCTGATTCACTGACTCTCCGCCCCACGTTGATGCTCCCTGGGGCTCGCTGCCTCTTTGGCCACCCAGTCCTTGCCTGGGCTCCCCACTTTGCTCTTAGCCCTTTCTTGCTTGCTTGGTGCCCAGTTAATCTCGGAATCTATTCCTTGCAGGGCAGAAAGGAGGAGAAAGTTCCCCGTTCCTTTCCATGGTGGTAATCAGAGCGGCTCATCTCCTGTTACCTGATGGAGAAACGGATACTCGCCCTGAATACTGAATAACACACTTCAGGGTTGCGTTCCAAGGGCCTTGGATGGCCAGGGGGTACTGGAGCACAGGGGTGGGGGGGCTGCTCAAATCCTCTTGACTGCTCCTGCCCTCCTGGCTACCTCACTGCTCTTTTTCAACTGTTCAAAAGAACAAACAATTCGCCTCCCCAAATACACAGAATAAAACATCAGACCGAGCAAATTCATACAAAAAAGGGGGAAAAAGGCATAAAAGAATTTGAGACTTGGATCTCCAAGCCTCGAGGTTGATTTATCTGAGGATACTGGGGAGCGAAGCCAGAATTCCCTATGCAAAAGCCATGCACGTGCACTTTTTTTGAGGAAGCCTGAGCCCTTATCAATATAAAAATATTTGTAGATACAAGCTGCCCCATTTTGTTAGCTCTGTCCTCTTGTTCCAGCCAGTTACCAGAATTAGAACATACCTTGCAGCAAAGTGGGCAATGTTTGGTGGACTTGTGGACTCATTCTATATTTTATTTAAGAAACCATCTTAAGCCTGTTTTAGGGCTTGCGTTACAGTTTTCACATATTCCCCACCTCAAAATATTAGGAAACTGTCCTGCTGATTTTAAGCCTCTAAGCCTGTTTTAGGGCTTGCGTTACAGTTTTCACATATTCCCCACCTCAAAATATTAGGAAACTGTCCTGCTGATTTTAAGCCTCTGAGCAGCTAAATGAAGGGAGCCAAAAGGTCTGTGGGGCGCATATGGCCCTGGGGCCACAGTTGCCGACTCCTGACAGGGAAAGGCTGGGCCAGAACTGGAATGGAGGGGCTCTAGCATGTCAATATAGATAAGTCTGTTGGGGATAGCCCTGCCTGCTTAAGGAAGGTTGCTCTGTGTTGGGTCTAGATGTGGGAGCCTTTATGGCCCCCTGTTCTCTGTCACTTCAACCACCCTGATTGAGTAACGGAAACAACATGAAGGCAACTGAAAATAGCTACATGCAAATAAATGTGCCACATTTGGAGGAAGTAAAAAAAGTCTAGTCACAGAACCTGTGAATTTTCTCTCTGAAGAATATGAATGAGGTTTGGCAGAACGTTCTCCTCCTCACCTGTAAAACACGACTGGCTCTTCCCTTAAACGTCGTGTAGCGGGGCAAAAAGGGTTGTCTTAAGCCAGTCAGCTCCCTATGCAAGCCCAGCTAGGCCAATCATGTTCCCCATGCCAGCTGCAACCCTTATGCTCAGGAGAGTGGAACATGGAAATGCCGCACGAGTTATAAAGCCCTGCCTCCTCGTTTGAAGCAGCAGCGCGTGATTTTTGCAAGAGAAGGGGACAGCTCCTACCAGGGGTCGGGTGAGTAAGGGGCAGGCCTGAGTTTGGACGCAACGGCACCAGCTGGGCACCCAAACACGGGGCCACTTCTGCAGAGAGAAGGCGGGCAAGAGGAAGGCCGGAGCAGACAAGCATGGGAGATGGCCGTCTGGAGCCCGGGGAGGCTCTTCTTACCATTGACTCCACCCGCCCTGTTGCGCTTGCCTGTGCCATCCAACAAAGAGCCAATCCAGGCTGACGCACCCAGGCGCAAGTCTCGGAAGAGGAGGGCGGTATCCCGGCGCACCATGTTCACAGGACCCAGCTTCTCCACGGAGGGATCATCTTTCTGCTCTGACTCCATCCCTTGGGGACGGACACAAAAACGGGGGTGGAGGGGTGGGGACAGGATTTAGGCCTGATGCCGAGACAGAGCTCCCATCTCATAGGCACCCTGGCCTGGATACCATGTCTGAAACCTCCAGAGAAAGGGCTCAAGCAGCAGGCTGGGTTTATCGATTCAGTTAAACCCTTTATGGCCTACCCAACTCTGTGTGGCTTGCCATGACAAGTAAGAAAACAAAAACACAACAACAGAAAAGAAACTGTAAATGTCCTAAAAGGCAAACACATAACCCCACCACCACACACACACATTGCCCCCATCCAACAGGGGCTCAGCTATCACCCTGCCCCAAAGCCTGGAGAAAAGCCAGGTCTTTAATAATTTCCTGAAGGTCATCAGGGTGGGAGCCATCTGGATCTCTGGGGGGAGGCCATTCCAGAGGGCAGAGAAGGCATACTTCCTGGATATCTGAAGATGGCACTGCTGGATCTATAGCAGGGCTCCTCAACCTCAGCAACTTTAAGATGGGTGGACTTCAACTCCCAGGATTCCCCAGCCAGCCATCTATAGGATCCAAAGGCACCCGCTCTACCTGATCTCACAAGATGGGGAGGAAGTACTGGAGGCTGGCAGGTCATCAAATAACCAGGCCGTATGCCGCAGAGAGCTTTACAGGTGATAAATCTTGAATTGCACCTGGAAGCCAACTGGGACCCGGTGCAGTGACAGACCAATGGGGTCACATGGGCCTAATAAGACATGCCTGTCACCGCCCACTTTGTGGCATTCTGGACCAGCTGTAGTTTCCGAGTGGTCTTCAAGGACAGCCCCACGTAGAGCGCATTGCAGTAATCTAAAGAGTCCCTGAATGGGAGCCTAGACAGGGCTAAGTCAGGATGTGGCTGTTTTGTTTTTGCCCCGGTGGTCTGTAAACCATGTTTAACAGCTCCCTGCTCTGTGTGCCCCGTGCTCATTGGGGTTTACTCCATCGTCTAGGCTTAAGCAAACCATGGTTTGGCACGAGGTGTGCATCTAACCTCTTTCATGGATTTAGGAGAACAGATAACACTGGGCAAAAGAGGAGACGCTCTTCGTATCTTCCCTCTCAAAAAAAGAAGAGACGGAAGGAGACGCAGCGTCAGCGTTTGCATGCTTTTTCCCTTAAAATTGTGAGGATGAAAGTACGTAAAACAGCCCTGACTACTTTGTTGTCACTCTTGGACTGAAGAAAGAAAATGGCAAAGATAAAAACTAAAGCAGAAAGAAACTATGCTGACTAAAAATAAGAAATATAAAAAGTCTATAATAAATTATACTCACGTATAAGCCCATCGGTGGATAAGCCGACCCTCAATATTTTAGTATATATATGCTTATCCATGGGTGGTGCATTTTTCATGGTATTTTGGTAAGAAAATTCGAGGGTCAGCTTATCCACAGATGGGTTTATCCACAATGTATACGGGTACTTTAAAAAAGCAGAGGGAAAAGACTACCGTATATACTCGTGAATTAGCTCACCCACGGATAAACCGAACCCCATTTTTTGGGTGTATTTTGGCACCTAGAATTTTTGGCTTATCCATGACTATATACAGTAAGTACATACTGTGCAACAATTTAATACATTTTTAAAAACGCAGCCCATCATTACCTATATCAAGGTCAACAAAACTGCCATTAAAGACCCAGGAGACATCTTCATACTGGAGATGTTTTGGACTGATCCTGTTGAAATAAAGCCCATCCTGGTCCTGGGGGTCAATCCGTCCTAAATGTTTATGGCTCCCCCATGGATGCCTGGCTGCCAGTCAGGGCCCCCGCTTCGTCCCTTCTCCTGCCTCCCCAACCCTGGGAGCCACCCCCTTTTTCCAGAGAGATTCCTCACCTGCGTAGGCATTGAGGCATTTGCACAAGACACTAAGAGGCAGGAGCGGGTCCAGCAGTGTGAGAAGCCGTGAGGGGGAGGCTGCCGCCTGCATGAGGGTGGCGGGGTACGCCGCCATGATCCCATCCGGCATCTTAATCCCAAAGGCAGCTGCGCGCATGGAGACGGTGATGCAGAGGTTCCCGCCGGCGCTGTCCCCTGCGAGGCACACCGTTTGTGCTGTGGAACCTGCCAAGGGACAGAAGGCACAAGAGGGCTCGGAACCAGGAGGATGGGGGGGGAGAGAGAGAGAGAGAGAGAGAGAGGAAACCAGAGGGATCAAACCACCTGCTATCTTCAAGGTGTGGTCAAAAAAGTCAAGAAGGCGGCCCGGATGGCGCGATCAAAGTGTTGCATGTCAAAACAGGTGTTTGACTGCATTGTTGGGGCCACCATCTTGACTTTTTTTTAACCACACCCTGCAGATCCTCCGAATGTATTTCAGTGAAATGCAGAAGTCAGGTATCTTTCAAGACTACATGTTGCAGACCCACAACAAGGGAAGATGCTGGCTGGGAACACCTTGAGCAAGGATGGGTAACCTTCAGCCCTAAAACTAGAAGGAAACTTTAACCCCGTCTCTTGGGGCCAGCAGAGCCCCTCCGTCTCTTGGGTGCTGAAAATCAGCTGTATTCTTTCCAGCCCTTTTGAGGACAAGAAACACATCTGAAACTATCAGATGAATCCTAATAACATTTTATTTTTAATTAAGAAACATTCCCAGGGTCTCCCTTGAAAAAAAAAGGCAATGCTCCAAATCCCCCTCCCCTGTCTATAGATGTGACCCAGCCCCACCCACTTTTTGTTACTGACTTCATGTAATGGTATGTAGGAATGACCTTGGGAGACAGGGGCTGGTGGGGGGGAAGAGATGCTGCCTAGGGAATGATCAGATAAGAGAGGACATAGTCCGCAGCTGCATAATGGACAGAGAAAGAAACTCAGAAAGGAACCTCTCTAATTGATCAGGCTGTAAAAGAGACAGAGGGAGAATTGCACTTTCAGACTTGCAAGCTTCTGTTAATGTAACCTTACAATAAAGTAGAATTAGCTCATCTGGTCGTGTTTCCTGTCTGGTCTACCTGGGAAGGCTGACACTTATCCACTGTGGCCACCCCCGAACCCTCCCCCAATCCCTTACCCAAGAGGTGGCAGTTCTTAATGGCCCAGCAGTAGGCATAGAAACACTCCTCCAAGGCCCGAGGGAAGGGTGCCTCTGGGGCCAGTGAGTAGTCGATAGAAAGGATTGGAACCCCGAGTTCCTGAGCCCAAGATTTCAGGTAGGGCTCGTGAGACTTGGAAGTCTGGGCTACGAAACCCCCTCCGTGAAAATGCACCACAAGGTGAGGAGAGCGAGGCAGTGTCTTGGTTTTCCAGGGCAGCTCCAGGGCGAGGGTTGCTTCTGGTCGCATCAGTTTGATCAACTCCTGGCTGTCCTGGAGAGAAGAAGCAGATTGCAGGGTCAGAGAATGAAATCACAAAGGCACTTGGCCAGCCTCCCATTGCTTCTTCCCAGCACTGCCAGCCTCGGACGATGTACTCTCAAGGGCTCTTGTGACAAACACGGGCATCTTTTTCTGGGTAGCATCTTGGCAAGCTGCAGATGAGGGAGAAGAAGGGCTGCAAAGAAAGATGGAGTTTTATTCCAGAAAAGACTAATTCTCCAGATTGCTATACTTTGAAACTGCTGTTCCTCAGCCTGCTGCACCAGCTGAGTGCAACCGGAGCCTGGTCTTCACACCTCTCCATACCTGTCCTTCACGCAGCTCGTGGGAAATGAGCCTCATCTGGACACCTCCTGGCCCTGTGTGGGCTACCGGAGGTGTGATGGTGACAGTCAGTTTGGGGTCAGCAACCAGAGGCAGGTCGAAGGAATGGGGTGGCACCAGCAAGGCTCTGGACAATCGAACCTGGGACGAAGCCATGCTGGCCAGGGACTGCAGTGAGAGAAGATGGAACAAAGATCAGAACAGCTCCGTCCTCAAACACCCAAGGAATGACTCTCCCATAAGGATTTGGTGCACAGCACTCTCTTGAGGAACAGGGCACCTGATTACTCCAGATGCTGTAAATGGTACATGGGAATGACCTTGGGAGACCGGGCCAAGAGACGCTGCCAAGGGAACGGTCAGATAAGAGAGGGCATAGTCTGCAGCTGGATAGCGGGTGGGGCAAGAGGCTCAGAAGGGACCCCCCCTAGTTTCTCGGGCTGTAAAGGAGATGGCGAGAGAATTGTACTTTCAGACTTGCAAGATTGATGTCAGCCTTACTAGGTAGATCAGACAGGAAACACAGCCAGATGAACCAATTCTACTTTATTGTAGAGCTATATTAACAGAATCTTGCAAGTCCCAGTCTGGGAACTGTTGGACTGAAAGCTAATATTGTTGGCCAGGATCTGGCCAGGGAGGCCCCATTCAACCAGCAGGACTCACCGCTAGCAATTCCATCTCAGTGAGGTTCCAGAAGCTTTTCCAGAAATGCACATCCAGGTTTTGAGTAATGCGCTCAAACTCCGATCCTCGTAGCTCAGGGTCAATGGCAAACTTCCCGCTTGTGAAAAGAGAGCCAGCAGCCACGCCTGCACCAAGGAGGGAAGGGGAGAGGCCAAGATCAAAAAGGCTACCTGCCTGACTAGACCCAGAGAAAGGGAAAAGGAAAATAAAAAAGTGGACCTCATGCCCAGAAATTGTCATTTGCCTGTAGCAGAGGGGGGGCGCAGGCGTTCTCTGCCCTCAAAGAATGCGCCTGCCGAAGTCATTAGGGCTGGCTGGGCACAATAAAGAAAGTGTACCCATGTTATGTTCATGTGCTTTAAATTCTCCTCCCTAGTTGGAGGCAAGCTTACGGTGCAGAGAAATAATTCCCTGCTTGCAGAAATTTTATTGAGGTAAGGCTTAAGTGGAATCCCCCTCCTCCTCCATAAAATATTTTCCACTTGTATATCTCCCAATTAGCGACAGACTTACGGCGGTTTCCATCACCAATGTAACGTCAGCGATAAAAAATTAAAATGTCCGATCAAAAATGTGATGATAAAAAATTAAAATATAAATAAAAATAATGATAATGAAGCAAGCTTAGCCATCTTAGGGGAACATTGATTTCTCATTGTTATTCTTTGATAGCATTCTTATTTATTCCTCTCATTGCTTTTATCATTTCAACCTGCCCACAGTCTATTCAGAAGGGTGGGTTGCAGAAACCGTAGAATACGTTAATCTGTAAATAAACCAGTTCATAATTGAAATGCACCTTGGACTGGTAATTAAATCCCTAATCATAACCACAAAATGGAATCAGATAATTTAGAGGGGCAATGACATGCTAAAAACGTCTGCAGGCGCTATCAATTTAGGGTCGTCGTTCCTTACCTGTCTTTGGAAATGTTGATGCCTACATTTCAAGAAACAAATATAAAACTTGAATGCCTAAAATGCAAGGGGGACAGCATTTCTCCCCAGTGGCAGCAATGCATCTTGGGAGAGTAGGATTCTTGTAGTGACCCCACAAGGGCACCATGTTGCTCTTACGGTGTAATGTGCCTGCGCCCTGATACTCACCAATGCCAGAAACGTGACGTTTGTAATTTTCCCCAAAGGAGACGAGGCTGATAGCGATGGTCTGCAGAAAAGGCCGGATTGAAGGAGCAAACTGCAAGGCCGAGAGTTAACATTAGGAGGGGTGAACAATGCTGCTTTCCGGACCCCCCAACTCTGCCTGCCATTGCAACAGCAGCTCCGGGCCAGAGAATTGAGCGACTGCAAGACGGCCGATCTGCTGTTACAGGAAGGCAGCTGACAGGAAGAGTTTCACGGAAGCCTTTCTTCTCCCAGCTGGGCCAAAGCAACCAACTTCAGACAGGTTCATTTGAGAGGAGATGCGGTGTAGCTATTTCATAGCTGGAAAGAGAACCCACACAGTCCCCCTCGCGTTCCTCCCAGCAAGGCCCCTGGATGAGGTCCGAGATAGGGCTGAGGGCTTTCCAACGGGGTCCGAACTCAGCTGGACACACACACACACACACACACACACACACACACTTGCTGCACTGAGGCTGAACAGTGACAGGCAAGAGCTGGGGACAGGAGGGTGGGGGGAATGCAGGAACTTGCGTGATCGTTCAGGGCCGTGCGGCCAAGGCTGCGGCTTGTACAGAAAAGTGAAGAAATGAAAGGGAAGGCCAGAGCTGTGTTTGGTGACAGGAGGTTACATCTAAGGTCTTTGACAATCTGCTCTTGCTTCATAGGCTCCTTTATACTCATTCAAGCAGGTTGCCCCAGGTTGTGTGTGGGTGGCGGGATAATAGCTGATTGAAAATAACATAAACGCTGTAGAGCCTGTAGAGTTAGTATCCAGGGATCGGCACTCTCTTCTCTCAAGGAAAGAGGAACTGACTTCCCCAGGATGTTTCAGGCCCTCCTGGTGTGACTGCAAACCGCTCTATTTACTTACATTGCCCCTTGTTTGGCTTAGTTCCACAAAAGAGAGGGACAAAAAGAAAAAGAGGGTCCCACTCCAAGGGGAATCTCCTCTAAACTGAGCCAGCACCAGGGAGGCAAAGTCCAGTCCTCCAAAAAAATCCAGCTGGGGATGAGATCAAAGGTGTTAAATCCCAGGGCTTCCCTGGAAGCCACAGGTTCAGAGGCCAGGAGGGAGGAAACATTGTGCAAGTTTCAAAGGGGGATTCAAGCTTGAGGAGCAGCAAAAGGAAGAGACCAGATCCATCTTAGGAAAAGATAAGGAATGTGTGTGTGTGTGTCTGTGTGTGTGTGGACACTCCCTTCCTTGTTGAGAAGCAAGTTCCTCCCCAGCTTCCCCAAAGCCTTACACCTCCATCCAGGTTGGGTTCCCCTCCCCAACTCTGCACATCCTCACCTGGAAGCCCATGCAGCGCCCGTAAAAACATCCCTTGTGCATAGTGATGTATTCCTGGAGAAACTGTTCCGAGAGGCCACGGTCGTCGTGGTTGAAGAGGCACCCTGGGCGGTTCTGGGTGAGCAGGCGTTGGGCGAGGTAGACCAGGGCTCGGAGCTGGGTCAAGGCGACACAGTAAGCTTCCAGCTCGGCACAATTATGGTTGGTGCGGAAGAAGATGCTGCGGCGGTTGGCCGCTACGTAGCGGCTCTTGTGGATGATGTGAGCCACGCAGCAGCGCACTGTCTGGGCCAGGCTGCGGTAGCCATTGGCTGGCGTGTGCTCGTCCAGGTCAAAGATGTGGTAGATGGCAGAGAAGTGGCCGAGTATGGGCTCCAGGCACCGGGCGTGCTCCCGGATGGTTGTGAAGGCTGCCAGAAAGCGCCGGCCTGTCTCGGTAGGGACATTCTGGAAGAAAGCAGCATTATCTTCTACCAGCGTGATCAACGTTTGGAACAGTGGCCGGGCATCCATGGTGCTGGAATCGGGGGAGCCTGTGAGGGGGAAGCAGAGAGGAGAAAGAAGAAAGAAATTAAGAAGGGCCCTTTTAATGCAGTTGTATTACCGGTTTGGCCCAAACGCCTAACCTTTACTTACACTCTCCTGTCACTGTCTCAGCTACGTACTCCATACGGCCCAAATAGCCTTTCTGACTGCTGTTCCTGGAAGACTGGAAGCCCTAGGAGGGGAGGGGGGGTCACTTAATAGAGCGTCTATCCTTGGAGGAGCTCCACCTCAGCAACCAACCCGTTCTCCCAACTTCCCATCGCCCTGTTGCTGGACAAAGAAAGATCATGCCAAACAGGACTACGCAGAAGACGACCAAGGACATTTCTACAGTGACCGAAAGGGGGGAACAACTTAGCCCGTAACTTGTGTTTCCCAACGTACTTTTATTTCCCTTCCCCCCTACCCCTCCATGAAAAGGTACAATCACCATTAATCTCCCTTATGGAGGAAGGAGCAAACCACACTTGTCACAACTTTCACCAGATTTGCTTTCTCCCGTTCCCACCACCCCCGTGGGAGAAAGCCACCGAGTTTTCTCCCCACAACCCTATTTCTACTACTTAAGAACAGCAGTCCATGTTTCAGCAGTCTACCTTCAGGCACTCCAAAGACCCTTCCTATCCACCCCCCCCAAAGAAATTCACAACATCTCTGCCAGAGAGACCACCTCGGATCCTGCAAAGGAGGCAGAAGTATATTCCAGGCTTCCCTTCTGAGTTTGGGAAGGGAGCAAGAGGCATCGGTAGGCATCTCTGCTCACAGCTGGCACCCTTCCCCATTTTGCTAACCCACGTCCCGGAACAACGCCCTCACCCCTAGCAAGGGGGCTCTGTTGTAAAGAGAGGACACTCACCGGGTGTCAACTATCCGGCTTCCAGCTTCCTGATGAGGGGATCGAGTTGCCTTACAATCACTGGCTGACTTAAAACGCCGCTGGGGAAACTGACTCCGCCTTAGAGGATGAAAAGGAGGGGTCAGTCCATAAATGGGAGGAGAAAAGAAAAAAGAGGTCCCCGGGCTTGCTGGCTGAAGGGGTGCAGACTAAGTCTCAACTGAGATCCCTGAGTTTTAATCCAGGGCTCCCAAGGTCTGAGGAGCCAGAAAAGCAGGGGGGTTGGCGTCTCTCTCCTCTGGTTTAACTTACTTTTTTTCGGAGAAGATCATCTCCTCTAAGGATGGGAGTTCTGGGGCACCAGATCAACATTCCTCTGAAATCCCATGTCTGGAATACACGAGGCAGCACATGAACGTCTTTAAGTAGAAATCCTGGTACCTATTGCAACGTTGGGGGAGTAAGGGGAAGCGAGAAGATGCTGGATTTGGAGGGGGGAGGAGCAGGAATGATCGAATGATGAAAGTGGGATTCAGTTTGGAAAAGAAAGCTGCCAGACTCAATACTGCACAGAATGGAGATCTCAGGCTACATTATTTGGAAGAGCAGTCTCGTATTTTAAATAATTTTGAGTTTCTTCCTCTGAGCAATGCATAAGAGGAAGCTGAGATGTTAATACAGATTTGTCCAATCTGATGCCTTTTAGATGTGCCAGGACTGCCATTCCTTGGCCAGGATGGTTGTGAGCCCTCGTGACTGGGAACAGGGAGGGTTCAGCCCCAGTGCTTGGAAAGGTTGTTTAATAATTCTTGCAAAAGAAATCGGAAGTCTAGTGGCACCTTTTCTCCCTAACCAATTTTATTAAAATTAAAATATTGTCAGAAAAGGTGCTACCAGGTGCTTTCTGGTTTCTACAGACCAGCCTTTCTTAACCTTTTTACCCTGGAGGGACCCTTGAAATAATGTTCAGGTCTTAGGGAACTCCTACATAAAATGTCAAAAAATATAAACACTCCACAATACAGTTCAGCTCTACACAATCCACGTTTTGCAACGTTTAGCATAACAGCAAAGCGGCACTAAGTCACGGCGTGCAAACTGAGTCCCTCTACTGCGAATGCTAGCATTGTCCCACGGACAAATTAAAAAAAACATACATACATACATACATACATACATACATATATATATATATATATATATATATATATGTTTTTTCAATCATGATCTCTCGCGGAACCCTCAAGATCAATGAAACCCCAGTCGAGAAATGTTTCCCTAGACTTAACACGGCTCTCCTCCTACAACGTCTAATCATTTTTGGTAGACCGAAAAATTCTCATCAGCAGAACCTCCATGTCACACAATTTGCAAAGTGAAGACTCCTAGACACTTGCCCCAGATCCACTGGATGGAATTTTATATGAACCCCATGAAGTGTCCTGATGAATTCCAAGAAAAAAGGGATCATGTTGTTTGTACCACAATACAAACAGGGCCCTTTCTCAAGACCTGGCACGTAGCCTTGGCTCATGATCCTGTTTTCTTGAGGAGTCCAAATAAAATGAAGATGAATCAACTCTTTCAAAGGGTCAGTGGCTTCTTGACACAGATAGGGAAGCAATATGAGCCTTTATACCCCAAGGACAGAATAACAACACACTGCTTTTGACCAGACAGACAAACAGCTATTCCAAAAGCAGGAAGGTTTGGAAAAGGGTCCTGAGGTGTTCTTTTAATTCACTGGGATTTTAGTCAGTAAGCTCCACATGGATCACTCCAGCAATGCTTCATCTTTTGGTCTGGAGGAGGAGGAGGAAGAGGAGGGGGCTTCATTGTTTTTCCAAGCCTGGTTTAATATCCGTCACCAAAGTTTCTGTCAAGTTAAATGGCTTCTGATTTGCAGTACAGTGGACCACATCCTTTTATACCCTCCTTGCTTCCATATTGCCAACAGCATTTGAAAGCCTTCTGACACTCGCTGTTTCGAACACCACACAAAATAATCTTTAGCGGGTATAGGAAATTGGTTCAAGGGGACAGGTAGAGCATCTTTGCTCAGTTGCAGGTTGGATTTCCCCAGTTTCCAATGGAATGGTTAGATGAAGAAGGAAGACAACAAGGAGGAGGAGGAAGAGATGAGAGGGAGAGGTGGACCTTGTGGTGAAAAATGGGATGAAAGTGAAGGAAAGAGTTTGTGAGAAAGGACATTCCAGCCTGCCACTGCCTTAGGCGCAATTCCTTTCTTACTGATCAGCTCAAGACAGTGTTTCTTAGGTTTCCCTAAGGTCTCCCTTCCTTTTCGGCCTCCCTACTCCATGCCAGCCTCCCTACCCAAGCATACTTTCCAACTTCTTCTTCGCATCTCATTTTTTCGTCAAACAGAAATAATGTTTATGTGTCTAAACATACCAGGATCTCAGATCCAAACTCAAAGAGAGTGTTTGCATTAAGAGGGCAGGACAAAACAAATGAAGACAGGCCATTACTTTTTATCTTCTGAAAGAGTAAGCGTACGCTCCCTTTTGTCCCACCTTCTCAATTTCTCAGGCAGGCATCGATATCTGCAGTTGGAATGGTGGGCTAGTGTTCAATTCCTTCCTTCCTTCTGGCCTTCCTTCTTTCTTTCTTTCCTTCGAGTCTTTAAGAAATTTATTTTAGGCACTGCATGTGTGTTAACCCTGCCATTAAAAAAGCCCCAAACACTGCCAGCATCCCAGGAATGGGTGGGATTGTGATGTCAGAGATGCCAGCCAATCACCGCCGTGTACAGCCAGATTCTGTCACATAGTAGCAGATGAAGTTCTCATAATTCTTGAATGAAAGGGACGGGCCAACTATGGTCCTCTCTCCATGATCATTCTCTACTCCCAACAGCCACAGCCAGCCTGGCTAATGTGCAGGTTACAATACAGTCTCATAACAGACAGAAGGCTACCGATTGCTCACCCCTCCAGGGAAGGTACAGTTATGCCTTCTACAGTAGCTCAACCTGTGAAATTCACCTATGGCTGGATGCATTTTAAGAGACGTGTCAGGTGCTGTCAGATGATCAAGGGTTCATCCCTCTTCATTGTTGCTATACCAGATGGATTATTTTGTTTTTTGTTTTAATTTATTTAAAAGATTTATACAGCCGCCCATCTTAAGCAACTCTGGGTGGCTGACAAGAGCAATTTGGCACAACTGTGTGGTGGGGATGAGCGAAGAGAGACCTTATCTACTGAGAAGGTGTGGAACGTATCAAGTTGGCTTCCTCAACTACAAAAGATCATGGGAACTGAATTCCAAACATCTGGAAGGCACCAGATTAGGGAAGTCCAACATAAGGAATGCATGTCATGATGCATTCTTCCTGGAAGGGTGCAACACTACCTTACAGAGTTGGGCAGCAATTCCGACATCTGCCCTTCTCGCTCACTCCCATGGCATCAGCTCTATAAGAATCAGAAGAGCAACATGGAATCCCACATGGGGATCCTGGCCTTTACTTAGGGCCCCACATCTGTTCTCAGAAAATTACCAACTGCCCCAAACCGACATAATCTCAGGACAAATTCCACCGGTGCCTGTCGGTTTCAGAGGTCTGCCATTCCTTTCCCGGGAGTGGAATTTGGTATAGGCTGAGTCACTCCTTTGGCAGCTGGAAAAAAACAACAACATCTGGGGAGTTGGGGAAAACTCTCCTCCAGCTGGTGGGGGTGGATTAGGACAGGGGCCATCAGCAAAGGCAAGAGGGAAGAAGGAAGACAGTGGGAGAGAGGGCAAGGAACAGGGTGATAGTGAGAGCAGTCGAGAGCGTTGAGGAGGGAAGGGGGAATGGAGTTAGGGAACCTAAGCCAACTCTTCCCCCTCCTCAAAGCCTGGGAACCTCTGACCTCTTCTGCCAAGAGGGGAGGAAAGGAAAGCAAGACAGACCGACTGCATATCTGGGTCAGGGGCCAAGCAGCTGTGTCATTTCCACCCAGTCCTGGACCGGGAGAGGACAGATCTGCCCCTTTCCTGCAATCTTCCCCATTCTCTGTTCCCACGTTGTTCAAAGGGTGCTGCTTCCAGCCACGCATGCAAAAGAGCACCAGTGTCTCGCAGGACTCAGCTTGTTTTTCTTTCAGCCCTGGCGCTGATCATGAGGCTCTGGAGGCAAGAAGATGCCCCTGAGCCCAGCTGTACCAGGCACACAGCACACAAGCTATTCTTTGTAGCTGCCAGCTGGGATACCAATCTCCACCTTACCCTTGGGACTCATGCAAAACGGAGAGTGCATTAGAGCAGGGATTGCACTAGAAGGGAACAGGCAGCACGCCCGGTTCAGTTTGGAAATACAGCATCTTGAGACTTTACTGAGCAAAAAAAAAAGGGCAAACAACTTAGGGTTTCTCAACCTTGGCAACTTTAAGATGTGTGCTGGCTGAGGAATTCTGGGAGTTGAAGTCCACACGCCTTAAAGTTGCCAAGGTTGAGAACCCTGACTTAGGGGCATCTCAAGTTAGTGTTTACACCATAAGCATTTAAACCAGTTCACAGCCATACTGCAGAGAGGCACGGCTTGGATGGAATTGCAGGAAGTTTGCAAAAACCCTGGGGACAGATGGACACGTCCCTCTGAAAAAGGAATGAACACATGCAACTCTCTTAGCAACATCCTTGTCAGCTCGTCATTACCAAGGGAAATCAAATTGCTCATTAAACGCAAAAACAAAAACAAATCACAATCAAGTCTCCAGCCCTCATGGTAATAACAGGAAAGACAGGTGAAAAACAAATGCTGAAAGCAGCTGGCGCTACTGCCAGGTTTCCCCACCCTTTGGGTTTAGCGCTGGCTGCCAACTTTTGTTCTGGGGTAGTGTGATTCAGAATGACATACTCATGTTCAAAAATGCTAGGCATATAACAGTCTCCAGGAAGTTAAAAAATCATTGGAATTCAAGGATGAGAAAGTGGCAGTCATATGAACTTTGATGGAGAGAGAGAATATACCAGATTATCTCTGTTATGTCAGGGGTAGCAAGGATATGGAAAAAATGATTCATTCCAAAGCAGTGAGAAGATACGCTCAGATGGAGTGACAGAGATTGTGACAATCTTCACATATTCACAGGTTTGCTGTTCTGAGACTGTGGCATTCTCTAGGAACAACAGGGCTTCACCCTTGTACACCAGAAGAGGCTATACAACACAAAGATTTACACATCCTAGCCAACTTCATTAAGAAAGGTTACCACTGTGTAGGAGTACAAGATCACATGAAATGTTATGCTTACTTGGCACAGGAATAATACATTATGTAATTTGGTTATTTGGCTATGATGTCCTATGTAAATCTTGTTTATGTAGGGTAAGAGCTGCTGCTCAGAATTAACAATTGGTAACTTGACTAATAAACTTTGTTTATAAGTATAATAAACAGGCAACAAACAAAGGAATTCAGCAAAAGTTGAGAATCTGAGGCAGACAGTCTCATCCAACATTCATCTTTGTTCAAAACATTAGAGCAAGTGGGGAGGCATTCAAGAGCATAGATACTGTGATATTTATGGCACAATCCTATGTACCTCTACCCAGAAAAGAGATAGGGCTTGATCCTAGTTAAGCATGTTTACAAAGAAAAGATCAAAAGTGACTCTGAGTAGGAAGTTGAAACTCATTTTGTCATCCAAATTGATGCCCGTAACTACGCTGGGACTTAAAACCCATTTCAGAATCTGAATGTTTATGCAGTAATTTGATATATAAATAAATGAATAAAATCCTAAAACTCAACATCACCTTCTAAAACACATACACATCTCTCTGGATTTTCAGATGGACAGAGCTGATATCTGAATTTCTAGGGAGACAAAGGGCCATAACTCCTTTCCAGGAGCTATCATTGCAAGGAATCTCTTTTTATTTTTCTTCATGATTTTTACTCTTCGATTTTTCTTGTCTTGTTCTTTTGTATCCCACCTAGAGTCTGTTTTTGTTGGGTCAGCCACAAATATTATAAAATAAACAAATCATAAGGAGCTGCACTAAATATCTCCTGATGGTTCTTAGCACATAAAAAAATCTGTCCTCTCCCATATTTGTGGTCAGCAGCCACTTTCAGAAACCTTCAAACCAAACATGTCACTTGATGCAGCCTACAAGAATAAATCACTGATTTATTTATAAACTAAACAATTTAATTGAAACTAGCAAGCTCTCTTTATGGTGCCCTTCAGGGATCTTTCCGGTTAAATAATTTCTACAACTACGATCCCACTCTCCTAGCTGGTGCGGCACCATGTTTATATATGTTGGTCCAGTTACATAGCATCAGTGATTGGTAAGGATGATGGGACCTGTGATCCAAGACATCAAGAAAGCCAGCTAATGTGTTCCATGCTGATTCTATCAATCATTATTTGCACGAGGGTTTCTCAAATTTGGCAACATGCTGGCTGGGGAATTCTGGGAGTTGAAGTCCATACATTTTAAAGTTGCCACGTTTGAGGGACACTGATTTACACTAACCGCCCCCGAAATTTGCTAAGGCAAATTCCTAGAAAGCTATGAACTGAAGTCCAGTCCACCTGGGGGGGACCATGTTGGGGAAGGCGGACATCCTGCAGCAGGAGCCCCTGGCACCTTCTACCCTGTGCCCCCAGATGTCCCCCAGATCCTTCGGATTACATCTCCCAGAATCCCTGCCGACTGGTTTTGGTAGCTGGGACTTATTTTTGCTAGCTGGGACTTAGTCCAAAATTATCTGGAGAACCGGAGAAGGTCAGCTCCCTCTTACCAGCTGTCAAAAGATTTCAGGCCCTTCTGAGCTCATCTCCCCCCCCCCACTCCTGACCCCAATGCCCACTGGGGGTGGGTCTGCCAAGAATCTCCTCCCTCCGATCCCCCCGGGAACTCACTGCCTAATGGGGCTCACCTCTCTTGCAATTCAGCAGCATGCCTTCCACCCGCATATCCTCAGGACCACAACTCCCAGAATCCCCCAGAAAAGTTCCTGGAAGGGCAGAGTCGTGCCAAGGTCACTCAGGCTAAGCCTGCGCCGACTTCTTTCTCCCACCGACCCCCTTCCCTCATAAAGGCACTTATTTCCGCACTTCCTCGGCGGGGACCAGCTGTCAAAGATCCCCCCTCCCTCCCCAATGGAATCATCTTGTCCGCGGAGGAAGGAATCGTGAGGCGGCCGGTCCCACTTCACTTTGAGGGGGGGTTCGATGCGCCTCACCGTCCCGCTCACTCGCCCTCTACTCACCCAACGGGGCTTCCGTCCACTTCTGCCCACAGTTGGCCCCTTTGCGGACCGGTTTCCGCCTTCGACCGAACGTTCGGAAACGCCACATGACAGCCGGGAACCAATGAGCGGAGGGCGGAGTCGGCAAGGGGACCCTTTGGTACGTCCCCCAGCCAGTTCCCACAGTAACGGCGTCCTCAAACCCGCCCTCTCCCTTTTTTTTTTTTTTTTTTTT